CCACCCACACCACCCCTCCACCATCACCACCCACACCACCCTCCACCACCACCACCCACACCAACCCTCCACCATCACCACCACACCACCCTCCACCATCACCACCCACACCAACCCTCCACCATCACCACCCACACCAACCCTCCACCATCACCACCCACACCATCCCTCCACCATCACCACCCACACCACCCTCCACCACCACCACCCACACCACCCCTACACCACCACCACCACCCACACCATCCCTCCACCATCACCACCCACACCACCCTTCACCACCACCACCCACACCAACCCTCCACCATCACCACCCACACCAACCCTCCACCATCACCACCCACACCACCCCTCCACCATCACCACCCACACCACCCTCCACCAATCCACCACCCACACCACCCCTCCACCATCACCACCCACACCACCCTCCACCATCACCACCCACACCACCCCTCCACCATCACCCCCACACCCACCCTCCACCATCACCACCCACACCACCCCCTCCACCATCACCACCCACTCCACCCACCCTCCACCATCACCACCCACACCACCCCTCCACCATCACCACCCACACCACCCCTCCACCACCACCACCCACACCACCCCTCCACCATCACCACCCACACCACCCTCCACCATCACCACCCACACCACCCTCCACCATCACCACCCACACCCCCCTCCACCATCACCACCCACACCACTCCACCTCACCACCCACCACCCACACCACTCCACCAACACCACCCACACCACCCCTCCACCATCACCAACCACTCCACCCTCCACCATCACCACCCACACCACCCCTCCACCATCACCACCCACACCAACCCTCCACCATCACCACCCACACCAACCCTCCACCATCACCACCCACACCACCCCTAAACCACAACCACCCACACCACCCCTCCACCACCACCACCACACCACCCCTCCACCATCACCACCCACTCCACCCTCCACCATCACCACCCACACCACCCTCCACCACCACCACCCACACCACCCCTCCACCATCACCACCCACACCACCCTCCACCATCACCACCCACACCACCCCTCCACCATCACCACCCACACCACCCCTCCACCACCACCACCCACACCATCCCTCCACCATCACCACCCACACCAACCCTCCACCATCACCACCCACACCACCCCTACACCACCACCACCACCCACACCATCCCTCCACCATCACCAACCACTCCACCCTCCACCATCACCACCCACACCACCCTCCACCACCACCACCAACACCACCCCTCCACCATCACCACCCACACCACCCCTCCACCATCACCACCCACACCACCTCTTCATCATCACCACCCACACCACCCTCCACCATCACCATCAACACCACCCCTCCACCATCACCACCCCCACCACCCTCCACTACCACCACCACCCACACCACTCCTCCACCATCACCACCCACACCACCCCTCCACCATCACCACCCACACCACCCCTACACCACCACCACCCACACTACTCCTCCACCATAACCACCCACACCACCCCTCCACCATCACCAACCACTCCACCCCCTCCACCATCACCACCCACACCAACCCTCCACCATCACCACCCACACCACCCCTCCACCATCACCACCCACACCACCACTCCACCACTTCCCCACCCACACCACACCCCCTCCACCATCACCACCCACACCACCACCCTCCACCATCACCCACCCACACAACACCACCTCACCACCACCCCTCCCCCACCAACCACTCCACCCATCACCACCCACACCACCACACCACCACACCACTCCACCACCACCCCACCACCCACCACCCCCCACACCACCCTCCACCATCACCACCCACACCACCCTCCACCATCACCACCCACACCACCCTCCACCATCACCACCCACCACCCCTCCACCACCACCACCCACACCACCCTCCACCACCATCACCACCCCACCTCCACCCACCACCATCACCACCCACCCCCACACCAACACCCACACCACCCCCCCACCAACCACACCACCCCTCCACCATCACCACCCACACCACCCTCCACCATCACCATCCACACCACCCTCCACCATCACCACCCACACCACCCTCCACCATCACCACCCACACCACCCTCCACCATCCACCACCCACACCACCCTCCACCACCCCACCACCACACCATCCCTCCACCATCACCACCCACTCCACCTCCACCATCACCACCCACACCACCCCTCCACCAACACCACCCACACCACCCCTCCACCACCACCACCCACACCACCCCTCCACCATCACCACCCACACCACCCCTCCACCATCCACCACCACCACCACCACCCCCACACCACCATCACCACCCACACACACCCTCCACCACCACCACCCCCACCACCCCACCACCACCACCCACACCAACCCTCCACCATCACCACCCACACCACCCTCCACCATCACCACCCACCACCCCACCACCACCACCACCCACCACACACTCCTCCCACCACCACCACCCACACCACCCCTCCACCATCACCACCACACCACCCTCCACCATCACCACCCACACCCTCCACACCTCCCACCACCACCACCCACACCACCACCCTCCACCATCCACCACCCACACCACCACTCCACCACCACCACCCACTCCACCCCTCCACCATCACCACCACACCACCCTCCACCATCACCACCCACACCACCCTCCACCACCACCACCCACCTACACCACCATCACCACCCACACCACCACATCACCCTCCACCACCACCACCCACACCACCACCACCCCCTCCACCATCACCACCCACACCACCCTCCACCATCACCACCCACACCACCCCTACACCACCACCACCACACACTCCTCTACCATAACCACCCACACCCCCCTCCACCATCACCACCACCACCACCCACCACCATCACCACCCACACCAACCCCCACCACCACCACCACACCACCCTCCACCATCACCACCACCACACACCACCATCACCACCACCACCACCCACCATCACCACCCCACCACTCCTCCACCACCCACCACACCACCCCTCCACCATCACCACACACCACCCTCCACCATCACCACCCACACCACTCTCCACCATCACCACCCACACCACACCTCCACCATCCACCACCCACACCACCCCTCCACCACCACCACCCACACCCCTCCACCATCACCACCCACACCACCACCTCCACCATCACCACCCACACCACCACCACCACCATCACCACCACCACCCACACCACCCTCCACCATCACCACCCACACCAACCCTCCACCCACCACCCACCACCACCACCACCACCACCACCACCACCACCCACACCACCCCACCACCATCACCACCCACACCACCCCTCCACCATCACCCACCACCCACACACCCTCCACCATCACCACCACCACCACCCACCCTCCACCATCACCACCCACACCACCCCTCCACCACCACCACCCACACCACCCTCCACCACCCACCACCACCCACCCCTCCACCACCACCACCACCCTCCACCACACCACCCACACCACCCCTCCACCATCACCACCACCACCCACCACCATCACCACCCCACCACCCCTCCACCACCACCACACCACCACCATCCTCCACCACTCTCCACCACACCACCCCACCACCCTCCACCACCACCACCACCACACCACCCACCACCACCACCACCCACACCACCCCTCCACCATCACCACCCACTCCACCCTCCACCATCACCACCCACACCACCCCTCCACCATCACCACCCACACCACCCCTCCACCATCACCACCCACACCACCCTCCACCATCACCACCCACACCACCCTCCCCATCACCACCACCCACCCACCACCATCACCACCCACACCACCCCCTCCACCACCACCACCCACACCACCCTCCACCATCACCAACCACCACCCTCCACCCACCACACCACCCACACCACCACCACCACCACACCAGCCCCTCCACCATCACACCACTCCACCCTCCACCACCACCCCACACCACCCTCCACCATCACCACCTACACCAACCCTCCACCATCACCACCCACACCAACCCTCCACCCACCATCACCACCCACACCACCCCTCCACCACCACCACCCACACTACCCCCTCCACCACCACCACCCCCACCACCACCACCCCACCACCACCCACCCACCACCACACCACCCCTCCACCATCACCACCACACACCACCACCTCCACCACCACCACCCCCACCCCACCACCACCCCACCACCATCACCACACCACACCACCCTCCACCACCCTCCACCAACACCACCCACACCACCCCTCCACCATCCACCACCCACACCACCCCTCCACCCACCACCCACCAACCCTCCACCATCCCACCCACACCATCCCTCCACCACCACACCACCCACACACCTCCACCCACCACCACCACCACCACACCACCCCACCACCCACCACCACACCACACACACCACCCCTCCACCATCACCAACCACACCACCCTCCACCATCACCACCCACACCACCCTCCACCACCACCACCCACACCACCCCTCCCCTCCACCACCCCACCACCCACACCACCCTCCACCACCACCACCATCACCACCACCACCCTCCACCACCACCCTCCACCCCACCCACCACCCCTCCACCACCACCACCACACCACCCCTCCACCATCACCACCCACACCACCCCACCACCACCCACACCACCCTCCACACCACCACCACCACCACCACCCACCACCACCACCCACACCACCCTCCACCACCACCCACACCACACCCTCCACCACCACCACCCACACTACCCTCCACCACCACCACCCACACAACCCTCCACCACCACCACCCACACCACCCTCCACCACCACCACCCACACCACCCTCTACCATCACCACACCACACCACCCTCCACCACCACCACCCACACCACCACCCACACTACTCCTACCATCTCCTACCATGGACCAGGTACCAGCTGCTGGTGGACGGGTACCAAGAAGAGAGTACCATGGGGGACGTCCTTGTACGGCCCCACAACCTCAGTGGGATGAAGTTCTCCACCCTGGACAGAGACAATGATCTCGCGTCAGGTAAGTTTGGTCTTCACAGATGACGTCTTGGGGCGAGGATATTGTCCGTATTGTCCGCCATTAACAATATATTCCTGTAGGAACTATTGTTAACTTTCTCCTTTAAGGGACCATTTGTATAATATAATAAAGTTAATGTTATCACTTGATGATTATATTAGTGCACGACGGGGATAATGACCTTAACAAACACCTGAACCAGGAAGACCATTGTTTGTCATCCTGGCTTGTGTGTGTGTTTGTATTATATGTTATTGTTTGTGCCTGAGTGTGTGTGTGTTTATGTTATGTGTTTGTGTATGTTATTGCTTGTGTGCCTGTGTGTGTTTTTGTGTATGTTATTGTTTGTGTGCCTGAGTGTGTGTATGTGTTTGTGTATACGTGTATGTTATTGTTTGTGTACCTGAGTGTGAGTGTATGTTATTGTTTGTTTGCCTGAGTGTGTGAGTGTATGTTATTGTTTGTTTGCCTGAGTGTGTGAGTGTATGTTATTGTTTGTGTGCCTGTCTGTGTGTTTGTGTATGTTTGTGTATGTTATTGTTTGTGTGCCTGAGTGTGTGTGTGTTTATGTTATTGTTTGTGTGCCTGAGTGTGTGTTTGTGTATGTTATTGTTTGTTTGCCTGAGTGTGTGTATGTGTTTGTGTATACGTGTATGTTATTGTTTGTGTACCTGAGTGTGAGTGTATGTTATTGTTTGTGTACCTGAGTGTGTGTGTATGTTATTGTTTGTGTACCTGAGTGTGTGTGTATGTTATTGTTTGTGTGCCTGAGTGTGTGTGTATGTTATTGTTTGTGTGCCTGAGTGTGTGTGTGTATACTTGTATGTTAATGTTTGTGTACCTGAGTATGCACCTAGTTGTGTTTGCAGGGGTTGAGCTATGCTCTTTAGGCCCACCTCTCAACTGTCAATCAACTGTATTACTAACAACTTTTGTTTTCCTACACACACACACACACACACACACACACACCACACACACACACACACACACACACACACACACACACACACACACACACACACACACACACACACACACACACACACACACACACACACACACACACACACACACACACACACACACACACACACACACACACACACACACACACACACACACACACACACACACACACACACACACACACACACACACACACACACACACACACACACACACACACACACACACACACACACACACACACACACACACACACACACACACACACACACACACACACACACACACACACACACACACACACACACACACACACACACACACACACACACACACACACACACACACACACACACACACACACACACACACACACACACACACACACACACACACACACACACACACACACACACACACACACACACACACACACACACACACACACACACACACACACACACACACACACACACACACACACACACACACACACACACACACACACACACCACACACACACACACACACACACACACACACACACACACACACACACACACACACACACACACACACACACACACACACACACACACACACACACACACACACACACACACACACACACACACACACACACACACACACACACACACCAGGAAGCAGCCCGTGACTAACTAACTCCCAGGTACCTATTTACTGCTAAGTAACAGGGGCATTCAGGGTGAAAGAAACTTTGCCCATTTGTTTCTGCCTGGTGCGGGAATCGAACCCGCGCCACAGAATTACGAGTCCTGTGCGCTATCGTGGCGTGTGGTTTGGTGGTTGTGGTTGTTAGGTGTGGTAGTGAGGTGTGGTTGTGGAGTGTTGTAATGTGTGGTTGTGTGGTGTGTTTGTGGGGTGTGGTTGTGGGGTGTCGTTGTGGGGTGTGGTTGTGGGGTGTGGTTGTGGGGTGAGGTTGTGGGGTGTGGTTGTGGGGTGTGGTTGTGAGGTGTGGTTGTAGGGTTTGGTTGTGGATTAAGGTGTTGTGGTTTGGTTGTGGGGTTTGGTTGTAGGGTATGGTTGCGGGGTGTGGTTGTGGGGTGTGGTTGTGGGATGTGGTTTTGGGTTGTGGTTGTAGGGTGTGGTCGTGGGGTGTGGTAGTTTGGAGTAGTTGAGGGGTGTGGTCGTGGGGCGTGGTTGTGGGGTGTTTTTGTTGGGTGTGGTTGTGGATTAAGGTGTTGTGGTGTTGTTGTATAGTTTGGTTAGTATAGTTTGTGGTTGTGGGGTGTGGTTGTGGGGTGTGGCTGTGAGGTGTGGTTGTAGGGTTTGGTTGTGGGTTAAGGCGTTGTGGTGTGGTTGTATAATGTAGTTGTATAGTTTGGTTGTGGGGTGGGGTTGTGGGGTGTGGTTGTGGGGTGGGGTTGTGGGGTGGGGTTGTGGGGTGTGGTTGTGGGGTGGGGTTGTGGGGTGTGGTTGTGGGGTGTGGTTGTCGGGTGTGGATGTGGGGTATGGTTGTGGGGTGTGGTTGTGGAGTGAGGTTTTGAGATGTGGTTTTAGGGTGTGGTTGTGGTAGTAGTTTTGGGGTGTAATTCTAGGGTGTGTGGGTGTGGGGTGGGGTTTTGGGGTATGGTTGTTAGGTGTGGTTGTGGGGTGTGGTTGTGGGTTAAGGTGTTGTGGTGTGGTTGTTAGGTGTGGTTTGGGATGTGCTTGTGGAGTGTTGTTGTTGGCTGTGGTTGTGGGTTAAGGTGTTGTGGTGTGGTTGTATAGTGTGGTTGTGTGTGTGGTTGTGGGGTGTGGTTGTGTGTGTGGTTGTGGGGTGTGGTAGTCAGGTGTGGTTATTGGTGTGGTTGTGGGGTGTGGTTGTAGAGTGAGGTTGTGGGGTGTGGTTGTGAGGTGTTGTTGTGGGGTGTGGTTGTGGGAGTAGTAGTGGGGTCTGGTTGCGGGGTGTGATTGTGGGGTGTGGTTGTGGGGTGTGGTTGTGGGGTGTGTTTGTGGAGTGGGGGTTCCGGGATGTGGTTTTTGGATGTGGTTCTTGGGTGTGGTTGTGGGGAGTAGTTGCTAGGTGTGGTTGTGGGTTGTAGTTGTGGGGTGTGGTTGTAGGGTGTGGTTGTAGGGTGTGATTTTGGGTTGTGGTTGTAGGGTGTGGTTGTGGGGTGTGGTTGTGGTGTGTAGTGGTGGGGTGTGGTTGTGGGGTGTGGTTGTGGGGGTGTGGTTGTAGGGTGTGGTTGTAGGGTGTGGTTGCGGGGTGTGGTTGTGGTGTGTGGTTGTGGGGTGTGTTTGTGGGGTGGGGTTCCAGGATGTGGTTTTTGGATGTGGTTCTTGGGTGTGGTTGTGGGGAGTAGTTGTTAGGTGTGGTTGTGGGTTGTGGTTGTGGGGTGTGGTTGTAGGGTGTGGTTGTAGGGTGTGGTTTTGGGTTGTGGTTGTAGGGTGTGGTTGTGGTGTGTAGTTGTGGGGTGTGGTTGTGGGGTGTGGTTGTGGGGGTGTGGTTGTAGGGTGTGGTTGTAGGGTGTGGTTGTGGGTTGTGGTTGTAGGGTGTGGTTGTAGGGTGTGGTTGCGGGGTGTGGTTCTGGGGTGTGGTTGTGGGGTGTGGTTGTGGTGTGTGGTGGTGGGGTGTGGTTGTAGGGTGTGGTTGTGGGGTGTGGTTGTGGAGTGTGGTTGTAGGGTGAGGTTGTAGGGTGTGGTTGTAGGGTGTGGGTGTGGAGTGTGGTTGTAGGGTGTGGTTGTAGGGTGTGGTTGTGGGATGTGGTTGTGGGGTGTGGTTGTGGGGTGTGGTTTTAGGGTGTAGTTGTGGGGAGTGGTTGTGGGGTGTGGTTGTGGGGTGTGGTTGTCGGGTGTGGATGTGGGGTGTGGTGGGTAAGGTGTGGTTGTGGGGTGTTGTTGTGGGGTGTGGTTGTGGAGTAAGGTTTTGGGATGTGGTTGTAGGGTGTGGTTGTAGGGTGTGGTTGTGGGGTGTGGTTGTGGTAGTAGTAGTGGGGTGTAATTGTGGGGTGTGGTTGTGGGGTGTGGTTGTGGGTTATGGTGGTGTGGTTGTTGAGTGTGGTTGTAGAGTGTGGTGATGAGGTGTGGTTGTGAGGTGTTGATGAGGGGTGTGGTTTTGGAATGTGGTTGTGGTGTGTGGTTGTGGGGTGTGGTTGTGGAGTGTTGTTGTTGTTGGGTGTGGTTGTGGGCTAAGGTGTTGTGGTGTGGTTGTGGGGTTTGGTTGTGGGGTGTGGTTGTGGGGTGTGGTTGTGGGGTGTGGTTGTGGGGTGTGGTTGTGGGGCGTGGTTGTGGGGCGTGGTTGTAGGGTGTCGTTATGGGGTATGGTTGTAGGGTGTGGTTGTGGGGTGTGGTTGTGGGGTGTGGTTGTGGGGTGTGGTTGTGGGGTGTGGTTGTGGGGTGTGGTTGTGAGGTGTGGTTGTAGGGTTTGGTTGTGGATTAAGGTGTTGTGGTTTGGTTGTGGGGTTTGGTTGTAGGGTGTGGTTGCGGGGTGTGGTTGTGGGGTGTGGTTGTGGGATGTGGTTTTGGGTTGTGGTTGTAGGGTGTGGTCGTGGGGTGGTAGTTTGGAGTAGTTGAAGGGTGTGGTCGTGGGGCGTGGTTGTGGGGTGTTTTTGTTGGGTGTGGTTGTGGATTAAGGTGTTGTGGTGTTGTTGTATAGTTTGGTTAGTATAGTTTGTGGTTGTGGGGTGTGGTTGTGGGGTGTGGCTGTGAGGTGTGGTTGTAGGGTTTGGTTGTGGGTTAAGGCTTTGTGGTGTGGTTGTATAATGTAGTTGTATAGTTTGTTGTGGGGTGGGGTTGTGGGGTGTGGTTGTGGGGTGGGGTTGTGGGGTGTGGTTGTGGGGTGTGGTTGGAGGGTGTGGTTGTGGGTGTAGTTGTCGGGTGTGGATGTGGGGTATGGTTGTGGGGTGTGGTTGTGGAGTGAGGTTTTGAGATGTGGTTTTAGGGTGTGGTTGTGGTAGTAGTTTTGGGGTGTAATTCTAGGGTGTGTGGGTGTGGGGTGGGGTTTTGGGGTATGGTTGTTAGGTGTGGTTGTAGGGTGTGGTTGTGGGTTAAGGTGTTGTGGTGTGGTT